TAGGTTCTTGAAACCTTAAAATATTGAACAAAATCTATATAGAACCTTATAATAAGAAGAATAATCACCGTAATCAGGAAATCCATGTGATGAAACTTGATATTATAAGGACCAATGATGAAAAAGGTTTCATTTTTAGATTAAACAAGATGAAAAATATACAAATTACCTTAATCATGTCAAATCTTGTGTTTAACCGTTCTTTGTTGCAAAAGTAAGATGCCAAAATATACAAACTAATGATAATACAATGCTCTAACTGGCCCTCTTGATTGAGTTATTTTTACCTGCAAAGCAAACACATTAAATAAATATAGTAAAAACCTTTTTAGGAACAAACATGATATAATTAAGCCTTCACCCAATATATTTATAAGATAAAAATACAAAAAGTTAAAAATGATGAAATCAATTACAATTAAGGATTAAAATAAAAACCTTTTAAGAAAAAGCCATCTGCAGGAGGGATATTTGAATCAACATGAATTTTCTAATGGTTTCAAATTTTGAATTATCCGAAATTCAGAAAAGGAGATAAAATTTATTGACAAATATAAAGATTCAAAACACATGTTAAAATTTAATATTATTTTATTGATGACTACCTGTACTATTAGCTTAATGATTTAAACGCCTTAAAAAAATAATATTATTATATTCACTCTATTTTTAGAAATAGTGAGATTTCTTTTATAAGATAGTATATATATATATATATATATATATATATATATATATATATATATATATATATATATATATAGATATATATATATATAATATTTTTTTATGTATTCAAAAATATATATTCGTATAATATGTTATTACATTGTTATAATTCTAAAATATAGTTTTAAGTAATTTTTTTTTTTTTTTTTTGAACGGTGGAAAATTATTAAAATTAGCAAGGAACTAGAAAAAGAATTCCATCAAAATAGTTGCTGAGATAAGATTATGAAGCTAAGACGGTACACTTGACTTTTGTACACCTATACGAAATCCAATAAAAAAACTTAAAAACATCATCATCAAAAATCAAAGATTTTTTGGGAATAAACGTTCTAAAAATCGAAGTATTTTTGAAATTCCAAATGCACCAAAATGAAATTAAAATCACTGTATCAAAAGCTTTCCGTTGACGAATTCTTCAAGGACAAGACACCGGCCAGTTGATAAGAGACTCCACAGTAATCTCAGAATGAAGATTGACACCCCACCAAACAGCAATACGAAACCATAAAATAATCAAATCAGGGCACTCTACAAAAATATAATCAATAGTCTCCATCGTACAAGAACAAATGAGACAAAAAATGAAATCAACAAAAATACCGGAGATAAAGGCTCTCTATCTTTATTTGATTTAAAACAAAAGGACAAGTATTACGATTTGATATCTTATTCTTTTTTCGTGAAATTAATCTACTACGGTTGTTGATTAAACTTGACGTCAAATATATTATAAAACAACTAGTTGCCAAAGACCAAAACATTTTTGTCGCCGAGACAAAAACTTATTTTTCTTTGACTCTTTTGATATCCATATATATGGAAGTAGAATACAAGCACAAATGAAAGAAACATTTACATACAGGAGGAAATGGAAGGCAAACTGCTAATAACATTAACTATTTTTAGATAGCAACGTTATTTATTTGAAAAAATATATTCATATATATTAGGGTTTATAAATTACTTTATTAAACCAAAAAGAAAATAAAAAAAATAAAAAAATGAAGAATCAAATGAATTTATAGTGACCCAACTCACACATTAACATTACATTGTCATAACAAGGTAATAACATATTATACAAAAATATATTTTTTAAATACATAAAAAAATATATTTTTTGTAAAATAAATATGTAAAAAAAGTTATTGTGTTTTACGTGAAAGGAAAAAAACTTATTGTTTTTATATTTGAGGATTATACAAATGTAATAACATATATATTATTTGAAAACATATTTTTAAAATACCTAAAAAACATATTTTTATCTAAAATAACTACGTAAATATATATAAATAGTTTGTAAATACTTATTTTTTTAACAATAAGTAATAGGATGATATTTATAAAATAGTTGTACGAAAATGTAAAAAAGAAAAAAATTAAAAACATGTAAGAAAAAAAAAATTAACATTTAGATAATACTTGTTTTAAAAGTAGTATGAAAAATATAAAAATAAAAATATAATAATAATAAATTACAAAATTGTAAATCAAGTTTAAAACATTGTATTAAAAACCCTATTAAAAAACTAATAATAAAAAAATCTTAAAAATATTATAATAAATTATAAGTCTTAGGAAAATTATAAAAAAATATTTTATAAATTAAACTAAATTTGTAATGAACGATGATTTTAGATTACTAAACATATATAATATTCCAATGGCATAAACGAAAAATAACTTAAGAGAGCAATAATTTTATATTTTGTTCACATTTAAACAACTTTCTCTTTATATACCCGGTGACTATCGAACTTTGTAAATTTGCTTAAATGTTATCATTGTTATCTAAGATAGTTGGTGACAATGTTAATATTTAAACATATTCAACTAATTGGATGGTCAAGTGAACATAAAAAAATCTAAATATAAACAAAACAAAAAATTATTACCCTTCTAATTCATTTTTCGAAGCTATAATGTGTGATAAAAACTTTAGTGACCTAAAGTGAAGTGATATTATATACCATAAAAATAAGCTAACAATTTATTTTTATTAATGAAGTATAAATGAAATGACAACTTAGCATAACATGTAATCTAGACACAAACATGAAAGATTCTTGCTAGGTCCATAAAATACAGGAAAAACATTTCAAAGGATAATGAAGCAAAGTCTCCAACGTGGAATAGCGTGAAACTGGCTTCTTATTAGTGTATGTTCATAACTGCATAAAGTTACATAAATTCGTTGGAAGACTACACGTACAATACCTATATATTTTAATGTAAAAAGTTTATATCATTTATTACTTCACATGCATGATGTGCAAGGATTCGAATATGTGCATATTGCTGTCTATATGTCATAATGTGAAGAGCAAAAATTATATGCCACTGCTACCACCTCCGTAGTTCTCAAATAGATGGGCCTGTTGGTTTTTCCCTTCATCAGAAACATTGTACAAACTAGGTAGGCCCAAATTCAGATATCATCTATTTGAGGTTAGAAAAATGCTTAAAAAAAAAAAAAAAAAAAAAAAAGTGTCTAGTGTCCTTTGGTACTTGCTAAGTGAATTAGAGCTGATTGAGTTAAAAAAATACCGAGTTAAAAGTTCTGATTAAATCCACATCTAATTGAGTTTATGTTGTTTGATTATTTTTTTAACTAATTATAGTGAATGATGAATAAATGACTATATTACCCTTATGACCACATACAAATTGTTAGTCTCACTTACACTTTAGTTATTAATTATTTTATTTTGTCATCTAAAAATATAAGTTATTAAAATATAAAAAAATATTATAAATAAAATAATAATATATGATAAAATATGTTTTGTTATATTAACAACACGAATAGAAACTCATTTTATTATTTATTTATTTTATTTTGTCATCTACAAAAACATCATTCTTTCATACTCTGGGGATTTATGTTTTTAAAGCTTCAAGAAAAAGGCATAAAGGGCTTTGGCAGCTCCTTCGCTACGCTTCCTTCCATAAATCCAGCTTTCACATTCTTTGCTTCACAATTCATCTTCCAATCCGAAGGTAATATTCACTTTTCTTAAATCTAATCCCTTCTTTATCTTCTAGATCTTTTCAAATTTGCATTTTTATGAACCCACCGATCAAAAAATATTTTCTTCTAGTAGTTTTCTAAAATCGTTCTATACGGATTGTTAATATACATTATCCTGCATATGCAGTCCATTCACTTCGATCTGGGTCTTCACCCAATCGATGCCATCTTCTGAAGCCGAGATCCGTTCCCGTGGTTGTTGTCTACTAGCGAAAAATAAGTCAAAGTCTCCCTTAATTTCGATAAGAGGAGGCCACAACTACGACCACAATCAGTCGAAGACGATGACCTTCAGGAAGAAGCGAGGGCGTACAAGAGGAACAAAGGTGAAGGGAAAATACGTGAAAGGAAAAAAGGATCGAGTCCGCTTCTTTTTGTTAGAGGACCGAATTAGGATAAAATTGGGGACCGAGTCCAAGGATGCTAAAGTCAAAACAAACAAGTTGATTGGGGATTAAGGACCGGGTCCTAAATTTGGACCCAGTTAGAAGGCTTATCAAACAGGCCCTAAAACCCACTTCCTGCCATTTTTGAAAGGAAGTATTGTTTAAAAAATATTGGTGATAGGGGTTGGGTTGAGAGGGTTGGTGAAGGATCATAAGGATTAAAAACACAATAAATAACAATGAATAATCAAAAACTAATTTTGATTAATAATTCTCACAAAGAAAAAATGCATAAAGATGTAACTTTTACAAGAACCCTAGCTTATATACTATGAATTACACAAAATATGAAAATCCTTATAAATCAGGGATTTAAACAAAACTATATAAGATAAGGTCCTAATCATGAAGATATCATATCTGCGTAGTGCATAAGAAAGCTTCACGATGGCATTGATCTATATAGCGTGTGAGACGTTGTCTAATGAGCAGCATGAAGTGTATTCGACTCATCAGATTATAAGGTTCGACCTTATAATCTCACCCAATATGATGATTTAAAAACTTAATCCAACTTAAAAGACTCACAAAACACTTTGGCAGCTTCACAGATCTCTGGCTTAACCCATTTATAATAATCCATTTCAAGATCTTCCATTCTCTTGTTCAGCTTAAAGGGGATAAACCAATGATAACTATTGGCAAGTTCTTTTTCCATATAAATCATTAAAATATGAAACAAATGCTTAGTGGGAGCCTTTGGGATGTCTTATGATAGCTGAAAGCACATATGACCATTTCCATCTACATAGAAAATTCCATGCACTTGATCTTTGATAAAGAGATGCTCAAGCAGAGGAAATCCTACTTGTAAAGGAGTTATTGATGTAGACACATCCAAAAGGCACGAGAAATGAAACTTGTTTTGATCTCCTCATTCGAATCCTTGATAGAACTGATGGAGGCTTTGGTGTTGAAGATGAACCTAAATCTTGAGGAGGAATCATGTTGAGATTCTTGAATTTGTTTATCATCAGCGTCAATGCCAGCTTCAGCTCATGTGCGTGTATTCCCTTGTGGCTTTTGATGATATTAGAAATTTGAAGCCACTCACTGTAGCCATAATTCACAAGTTCGGACACAAGAATCCTCTGAGGGTATTCAACCTTGTTATCTTTTCTGGTAAGATGCACTTTCAAGATTCTCTAACCTTTGGGTTTAGCACACCTCAATTTTATTATAGGATATGGAGAGATTCTCCTTACAAACACATCAATGTATTCGGAGAGATTTATATTTGTGTTAATCTCTTTCATCTTCCTTTTTCTTCACAACTTCATTGTTGAAGCATTTTAGCACCACCTTTTACTGATCGATATCTCCTTCAACAGTAGCCATTTGGTCAATTAGTTTAGCATCATGCTTGAGAATAGTTTTATTGCGCAAGGTATGATTATGTTCAACATTAATAACTCTCACTTCTTCCACTGAAAGACCTCACTGCTTAATTTTTCGAAGAGAAGAATAGTATTGGGGCGTTTGACATGTAGAACCGAAGAAGAAGCTGTAGTCTACCTTTTTGTGAACAAGCATTGATCATCATCAGACTCAATGTCACTTGTAGTGTGACATTCCCTTAGAAGTTGAGACTCCCCCTCAGTGTGTTGGTCCCTCTTAGCTTTTGAACTATCATGTTTCCCATGATCTAGCATAATTGTAGAAATAAGAACATCACGAGCAAACACTAAATCAACTAAGAAGGAAAGATCCAGAACCCTTTCAATATCATTAGGAGCCTTGTAGTTCTCCTCTTTTTCGAAATCTTCTTTAGGGAAATGAGGAGAATGTTTAGGAGTGGCAGTGCGTGTGGCATGGGGTAAGGTGAATAGATGTGAAGGGGTAGTTGAGGAGGTAGAGGTGGTGGATGTGAAGGCGGAGGTGGATGTGATAATGTACAGTATAGTTTATAATGAAGATATTCTATCGAAGTATTATAGTCATAATGTCGAAGGCTGTCTTATTGTCTATATTGAAGATTAAGTACCTTTGATATATGTATGTATTTTAGACAACATGTTTGTTTGTAACTCTCTGATAGTCGAAATCTCTATACTTTTTGTATGTCTGTTGAAGGTACTATATTTAGTACTGTAGCATAGGTTAGAAGCTACACTTTTAAATACTTCTCAGAATACTTTCTACAACTTGTAACCGTTGTTGCTTCCAGACATAATATGAGCTAAACCAAATTTATTCACTTATTGTGTTCATATACTTTACAAAATCATATCTTGATTGATTTCTTGACCCATCAAGAGACATTAGAGGAGGAATCATCAAAACATTTGGAGAATTTCTTTTTTCAATTTCATCCATTGATTCAATCTTTCAGAATTCAAAAAATTCCACATTTGATAAACGTTTTTCTTCTAAATTTTTTTTGAGATTGTATGATTCTGCAATCGAGATTCATCAATCTTATTTGATTTCAATCCAATTCATTTTTCTCATTCTATCTAAACAAATTGGTGGCTAACATGAATGTTAACACGATGATGAATTTTACAAATCTTCTTGGATCTTCCACAAAAGCCCCAATGTTACTTCCATAGTATTACGATCAATGGGCTAATTATATGGAAGATTACCTAAATGGAATCGATGAAGATATATGGCGTCCAATCAGAGATGGTCCATTTCATGTAACTATAGTTGAATTAGTTGGTACAACTACTCAGAATGAAAACATTACTGTAACACGATTGAAGAAAGAAGTGAATAACAAAAGGTGCATCTGTAAATTGAGAGGAGTAATTCCTCTAGTCGTTTACAACTACATTAGAGGTTGTAAAACTACATAAGAGATCTGAAATACTTTGAAGGGGAAGTTTCAAGGTAATAAATGAACCAAGCCCACTATGACCGATTCAACCATATGATTTACACATATCCAAGGTACAATGGTGTTCGTACAGTCTTGGAGTTCAACATTACATTTATTCAAGATTTGAGGAAGGAATAGAACAACATTTGTTTGATGATCAATGCTAAAGAGAACTTTGATTCAGATTCTTTGTCGAACTTCTACAACATCTTGAAAGCGCATGAAGCTGAACTAAAAGAAATTGCAGATTAAAGGATAAAGTGAGTTTTGTTGGTCCTTTAGCTATTGTGTCTAAAACCAATGTCAATAAAGCTTGTTCTAATGTCGAAGATAATGAAGATGAAGAAGGTTTGATTGTGAATTTTGATGATACGGCTGTAGATTACTAATCTAACAATAATGTCAAAAGGTTTTACAAGAAGCCAATGGAGGGAAAAATCAAAAGTAACACATTCAAGAAAATTTCTTCGACATACAATCCTATTGTTGAGAATAAGAAATATGTTAGTTCCAGCGTGAAGAAGTTAGAAAAGAAGTTAGTTGGTGAGTCTGGATATGACTGAAAAGTATTGCAATAGAAAAATCCATTTGACAAGGGATGACATGTTAAATAATAAGGAGGAGAAGCAAGAGAAGGTAAAGGATGAAGTCTACTACATGTTGAAGATTAAAGACCTGAGGGCTAAGTCAACGAATCTATCACTAGTGGTGAAGAGCTTAGATAAGGATAATGGTACATATCAAATTTGGTCATCTAGATCATATGACGAGGAGATGCATTCTCTGATGCATGATGTTATGTTTGCTAAGCATTTGAGTGATGGGAGTGAGGAAGAGCTACTGAGTGAAGAGGTTGTGTATGATGGATAAGCTTGGAGTGATGAAGGAAGAAATTTTGAAGGTCGATGTTTCATGGCAACAACTTTCCAGTCTCCTATGACGGAGAAGGTACATGATCTCTTAATCTCACTTAATGTTTATTCAAGTTCTTATGATTCTATTTTATATAACTTTGATGATGCAGATGTTACTTGAATGATTTGTTCATTTCTATGAGTAGTGATGTGGAAAAATCCAGGGATGAGTTGTACGATGCTAGGAATAAATTGAAGAGAAAAACTATAGGATAGACAATTTAAATATGAAGCTTAGCAATGTTACAATTTTTAGTAATTCGCTTAGGATTGATAGTATCTTGTTGATCAAACAATGAAACATTAATAGTAATACTGCAAAACGGTTGTATGGTAAACTTACATCATTATATCATTCTTCAGAGATTTGTAAGGAACATCATCAATTTTTTTTTTCCTTTTATCACATTTGAAAAGGAATTAGTTGATGAAATTACATTTGATTGTGAAAGTAGGGTTTCTATGTTTGATCAGGTACCAAATGATTCACATGTTTATAGTATTTTTAATATTGATGAATTGGATGTTAATGGTGATTATTGTTAATGATACTTTGAGTAAGAATGAACAAATCAAAATTTTGACAAAATTGAATCTTTGACACAATGTTCTCAAGAATTGATATTAAAGATGATTAAGATAATATCACTGAAATCGAAGAAGATGAATGTGTTGATTGTTCGAATTTATTGATCATTCAAATTAATTCATTAGCTAAAAGTAAAGAAACAATATATTCAACGTTTAATCTCAATAAGGATTCATCTTCGACAACTAATAACAATGATTCTCGAGAGAAAATTGATATCAAAGATATTACAAATAATGAGGGTGAATTCGATGATGTTTCATATGGAGAAGAAAGTCCTCATGTTTTTGAAGCACAAATTTATGAATATACAAAAGTTTTAAATGAAAAAGGAAAAAAAAATTCTTGTATAAAATGTTGTGTTGTATCTTTATGTTAAAGATTTTCCAAATCAAGTTTTTGTGACATAAACAAATGGAGAGAATGTAAATTCAAAGTTGAATAATTTGTTGAAAAGGGATAACATGAAAGTAACTGATGAAGATTTCGACTCAAATCAAAATGTTGAGGAAAATCATTTGAATCAAAGATCAAAAACTCTTCAGAGGCAGAAAAATCAAAATTCAATTTGTAAACATAACAAGAAAGTCACTACTGGTGTTTGGGTAGTCAAAAGAACTAAATCTCCTCTTAAAGACATATTGAAATATCTTGATGTTCCTATTTCAAGCGAGTCGAAGGTTCAAAATACAAACCATAATGAATAAAAATCACCTCTGAAAAAACCTCAACTAAATCAAAATGTTCGATATGATGCTTATTGGAAGAATAGACGTAACTTTAAAAAATGAAGATGTCCACAACAAGGTTCTCAAAATCATTCACAAAAATTCTCAAAATCGTTTTTCAAAAAATTCACAAAACCATTTTCAAAAAGGTTTTCCAAATTATTTCCAAAATAACCAAAATCGGCTTTTACAGGGTTCTCCATCTGGTTTTAACAAACATTACCAGAATCATTTGCTGCAAAGCCCAAGAAAATCATTTTCACGACCAAATAAAGCAAGATTCACAACCAATGTTGTTATGAAAAATGTGTCTTTTACACCTAAAGAACCAAATTTTCCAAATCCAAAATTAAAGTAAAAGTTGAAGGTTTCTTAATCTAAAGGTAAAAGTGATGTCGATAATTTCAATCAGTGGTTTGAGAACAAAGGAAAAAAAATATCAATCCAAAGAATTTTCTGAAGAACAAGTGATAGATACTTATGAAAATTACTTGTGTGAATCAACTAATGGGAGTACTTTTTCACAAGAAACATTGTCGAACCATCAAACTTGGGTGATGTCAAATCCAAAAACAAAATTGAGTTTTCAGAATGTAAAGTTGAAAAATAAAAACTCAAAGTTGATGTTTCGATGTCGAAAGGATATCTTTCTTTGCCACAAACTAATGAACTCGGTTTGACTAATTTCATTAAATTCAAAGTTAGAAATTGGATTTTTAATTCCACGATTCAAACTACATTCCACGCTAATGTTTAAGGACCCAAAAATACTTGGTTACCTAAATCTCTCTGATTAATTGTAGGTACTATGTGACGATCAATATGATGAGAAATGGTATATCGATAGTGGATGTTTGTGTTACATGAATGGAAGAAAGGAGTGTTTGAAATATTTTAGGAGGCATGGAAATGTTGGAGTAGAGAAGTTTGGGAATAACAATAAGTGAATAATAAAAGGATATGGCAAAATTACAAATGGAAAGGTTACTGTTAATCGGGTAGCCTATGTCGACGGTCTGAAACACAATCTAATAAGTGTGTCTAAATTGGATGTAAGGACTAGCAACCAAGTGTTGTTTGATTGAGAAGGTAGTGTCATTTACAATAAAATAACAAACAAAGTTTTATTGAAGTCCAAAAAAAGGAGACATGTTTACATTAGACATGAAGCCCATTGCTGGTCTACCTCCGTTTTGTTTACTATCAAAGGCTTCTGCTAATCTAAGTTGGCTTTGGTGTTAAAGACTTTCCCATATGAGCTTCAAAAATCTTAATTTTCTTGTTATAAATGATTAATTTTGAGGTTATATGTACTAAAGTTTTATAAAGATTCTTTGTGTGCAACTTGTGAATAAGGAAAACAACATCGATAAGGAAACCCAATTGTTATCGACTCGAAGATTGTTGAACCCGTGGAACTTCTACATTTTAATTTATGTGGACAAGCTCCAATTGAGTACATGGGTGGGAAGAAGTATATTTTGCTAATTGTTAATGACCTCTCGTGTATTACTTAGGTACATTTTCTATGAAAAAAGTATGAAATTACTCAAGTGACGATAGACTATATCAAAAGCATCGAAGTAAGTTTGAAGAA